CATAGACGAACAACCATTCGCGCTCACAATCACACCTCGGGATAATTTCGAGTGTTCAATCAGCCTGTCATGCATGATTTTGGAATGTGGGAGGAAATTGGAGTCCCCAAAGAAAACCCATGCAGTCACGGACAGAACATGCAAACTGCACACAGGAAGCCCGGAGGCCGGAATAGAACCCTGCACCTCTGTACCATGAGGGGGAAGGGCTAACCAGTCGACCACTGGGCCGCATGGGTAGAACTATTTCATTTTTGTATTGATGATTAATTTTTTTTATATTGGTCTTTAACATGTATTTCCTTCTGTCATGGGTGGATCTGCAATGTATGCCCACGCAATAAACTGAGAATGTGTTTAAACTGTGTGGAATGGGTAGAACGATCCATCCATCGATCCATTTTCTAATTCGCTTATTATCCTCAGTAGGATCGCGGGGCGTGCTGAAGCCTATCCTAGCTGACATCAGGCAGTAGGCAGGGGACATTCTGAACCGGTTGCCAGCCAATCACTGGGCACACATAGACGAACAACCATTCGCGCTCACAATCACACCTCGGGATAATTTCGAGTGTTCAATCAGCCTGTCATGCATGATTTTGGAATGTGGGAGGAAATTGGAGTCCCCAAAGAAAACCCATGCAGTCACGGACAGAACATGCAAACTGCACACAGGAAGCCCGGAGGCCGGAATAGAACCCTGCACCTCTGTTCCATGAGGGGGAAGGGCTAACCAGTCGACCACTGGGCCGCATGGGTAGAACTATTTCATTTTTGTATTGATGATTAATTTTTTTTATATTGGTCTTTAACATGTATTTCCTTCTGTCATGGGTGGATCTGCAATGTATGCCCACGCAATAAACTGAGATGACTCTATATTCAATCTGCTCATTCATGCGACACACTTCCTTTGGCAGATATTCAATGCATGTCCAATTTGTATGCATATCTGGACGAGGTCTAATTCTAATGTAAAAAATTCTCAATTGCAAGCATTTTTTTTGTGTGTGTGTGTGTGTGTGTGTGTGTGTGTGTACATACTGTCATGATGCATATCCAAACAGTACAGATTTTGTCACTTGATATGGCAACGTGTAGAGTTCTTCAATGTTTTCCATGTCGCTTGTTCTTGTCATGCTGCGTTAGAATTGACTAGTTGCTTTTATGTGGTGTTGGCCTGAAAACAGATCTCATGGGCAAACGGAGAGCTTGTCTACAGACCCATTAAAGATGACATGTTTCCTCTGATAAAAAAAAAGAAAAAAGAAAAAAAATCACTTAGAGCGAGTGTGTCACTCTCAAACTTCACATAGACATAAAATCGAGTTTTTGTCCCTTGTCATATGTGATTAGAGGTCACGTCCATCCGTGGACATGACCGCAAGACTGAAAGCAGAGTCTTTTCTTTCATATTTTTTTCTCCTCGGATTAAAAAATAAAATTAAAAAAATAAAGCTTTCATGTATGTTGTCAAACTTGTATTGAATTGAATCTTTTATCCAGGCCACACGCTACAATCCACTCTGATATATAAATTCATGTGAGAAACATCCTGTTAGATTCTTTCACGACTCTTTGGTGATAGAACTCTAAAGAGTGCACATTTTGCATTCAGTCGATGGTGCGCTGATGGAAAAAAAAAAGACAAACCCTGTTGTTTCATCTTACAGTGAATTAACAGATGAATGTCTATATATATAATCATTCCAGTAACGTGTTCACACTGTTATTTTCTGCATCGCGTATGTCTGCTCCAACTTGCCATGGAAACAGCATAGTATATGTGTGTGTGTGTGTGTGTGTGTGTGTGTGTGTGTGTGTGTGTGTGTGTGTGTGTGTGTGTGTGTGTGTGTGTGTGTGTCTCTCAGGAATTCTCCCAAGCAACAAGTAGCAACACACAAAAAAAAAAAATGCTGTAAATGGGAATTTCTCCATTGTGAGACAAATAAAGGTTTTCTTATCTTAAATACCACCAAGAAATCAAATCCGTGCAAATCTGTCAAGTTGCTCCTGTTCTCCAGCTTTTGTCATCGTCCCTTTGCCACTACGTTAGAATTAAAATTAACTTTCGGCATAAGCAGGGAAGGGCGTGGCATATTCTTGCAAGAAGGCACAACAACCATACGGCAAAAGCATCCGACAGTGGTGTCTTCCTACTCTCATAACTATGCTACGTGACAAGCATTGTTTTGTCTAATCCTAATTTGATGGTTTTGTCTGTCTGTGTCATCCTCTGTTTCAATCAAACAGGAGCTATGCATCGCCCCAGCCACAAACTCAACTCAACAATTTAATCAGTCGCTAATCAGAATTGCCATTCACTGCCAGCCTTTTTTTTCAAAGCGCCGTTGGAGAGCATTTTCACTTTTCAAGACACGCAGACTATTTGTGTTGTGTGACAAAAGAGCAGACTTTTCTTTTTCTACCTTTTGTTTTCCTGTTCTTTTGTAACTAGCCGGAGAACAAAGTTTGGTTTCAACAAATGATTTTTTTTTCTGAAGAAAAAGCAGCGTAAATGAGCTTTTTGTGAAAAGAAACATTTATTATTTTTGCTTTGGTAATGCCTCAAACAATCAATCAAAAAAAAAAAAATAGCTGCATGGCTCAAGTTGAACGTCGGTGGCTGTTTTACATGGCATTGCTCATTCACTCCATTAACTGTGACTACTCAAACTTTCTGACTTCCAGCATTTCGCTCCCAAATTTGTTACATGACAAGCAGAGGGATGTTAACCAAATGTTTTAATGTTTAATCGCCGTATTATCACTTATACACAACAGATCGGATTACCTTGTTTTGACATGAAAAGTGAAGGATAATAGTTCAACTATTATCTATAACTATTATTAGTTACTGCAACAAGGACAACAAAAATTCTCACAAAATGTCAACGTTATTTATGACACATGGCACAGAAATTTTAGCAAGCGTCATGAAAGTTGACACGCATGGTTTACTTTAGCAGGCCACATAAAAGGATGTAGCGAGCCCGGATCTGGCCCCCAGGCCTTGAGTTTAACACCTGTTATCTGAATCTTCTGAGCAAAAAGCTGCAAAGCGATCTACAGGGATCTGGTAGTCATTAGTAGAGGTTTAGAAATTTCATCGGCAACCATCTTCCACACACTACTTGTGGAAGTAAAAAGTTGGTTTGATGAGTTGATTTAGCCTTTGTGGAGTCCCATGACCTGGATGACTGAGAAGCTATACCAGGGGTGTCAAACATACGGCCCGCGGGCCGGATCCGGCCCGCAAAGGAGTTTAATCCGGCCCGCGAGATGATTATGTAAAGCATGGTGTCAAACATACGGCCCGCGGGCCTGAACCGGCCCGCAAGGAGGTTCAATTAGGCCCGCAGGATAATTTAAAAGTGAAAAAATGCATTAAAGACAGAATTAATATTTTTAATAAGGTGCAATCCATTGAGTATCCGCAAGGGGACACTGTTTTGATCAGAGAAGAAGACAACAGCAGCCTCAGTCCGTCACTGTGACAGACCCATGACAGCAGACGCTATCAATAGCACTCTCACATTTACACATTTAATAGCACTCTCCTTAGTTTGTAAGATTACATTTAGATTTTATATGCACGTGTAAATGGTTTAAAACTTCCTTTCTTTATGAATCTCGTTTAATCTTAAAGTGCATTACTATATTTTTCAATACCAATTACTTGTTAATGTTTGTACAATCAGTGGGATCATTTGCAATGCATATATGTGAATGATAAAAGTAAATTGCACATTTGTCGAAGGAAATGTAAGGTGCTTCATGAAATATTTTGTAAAAGATATGTTCATTAAATTTCAACATTTTCCTAATGTTCTTGTGCTTCTTTATACCAAAACAAAGGAAAGACATTGTTTTGGTTATTTATAGCAAAGTATGGTATCATTTTAATGGTCCGGCCCACTTGACATCTACCGAGGCCGTATGTGGCCCACCATGTGAAATGAGTTTGACACCCCTGAGCTATACACACGTGAAGAAAACACGCAATTTTAAAAGCAAGTAGTGTTTTTTTATTGGTATTCTGAAGCAGGGAGCTTCAAGTACGTTATTAGGCCCTACGCTATATGTGAGCTCTAAGACTGTACACCAATGATTGTCTGTCCATATATGTTTTTCATCCCACTGTCTGCAAACAATGGCTCTTATGCCTATGATGTGTTGTATGCAGCGACGGCTGTTTGAAAGTGCTCTATAAATACAGTTAAGTTGAGTTGAGTTGTTCTTGAAGTGAGTGTTTCCCAACCTTTAGTGCGTCAAGGCACACATTTCGCATTAAAAAAAAATGTCATGGCACGCCACTATGCAAAGCGATGAACAAAAAGTGGATACGGATGGACAGGTTAATTCCACTAGAAGACAGAAGGTGCATACCTTCTGTCTTCTAGTGGAAGAGCAGTTGATTGTTCTGCCTCTTAGGATGCGTGGTTGTCATAGATTAATGTACTGTGTGTACATATATAGATAGATAGATAGATAGATATATATTTTGTAAAAGAAAATAACAAAAACACAATTTGTGTCGGAAAATTGGTTTTTTTGATTGATGCCAGTGCATCGAATCAAATCAAATCGTTTCGCTTTAAAATGGTATACCCAGATTCATATTCAATCAACTTTTATTGGATAGCAATATCTTACTTCGAAGGAAATGGTACATATACGGAACTGACAGGTTCATTTAAATGTATATAAATTGACAATTAAAAAAAAAAGTCATTGCGTCATATCCCTCTCCAACTGAGCCGCACCATATTGAATTGAATCAAGTCAAATAGAATCCTTTCACTTTGACGTCGAACCGTCCTTCAATTATTTTCCACTCCACATATCAAAAACCCAATCAAATTGTCTTTAGTGGAGAGAATTGACGGATTATTTCCTGCGGCACACCTAATGATCTCTCACAGCACACTAATGTGCCACGGGACACTGGTTGCTAATCACTGCTTTAAATTACTATATATATATTTTTTCCCTTACAGGTCCATGCAGATGATGTACTTACCAAAGAGGAACAGATAGCGCTGCTGTTCAAAGCCAAGCGCAAGTGCGAAGGCCTCGTCAAATCGAGGCAAGGCAAGCTTCCCGGTGAGTAGCAAAGCCGCGCTTGCGCACGCTGGCAAGTTTGCATTCAAGCAGCCAAGCCTTAAATTTAAAAGTATCAATTTATCAGGTGGACAATACATAAATGCAAGGTGATGTTGAGGTGTCGCTTTGTTCACCAAAAAATGAACGATAAATGGAATTGGCTGGAGTGATTGTCATGATCTGCAGCCTGCTTTCTGCCTCCCCGCCCCCTTCCTCATCTGTATCACCTGCTCCCTGATTGTTTCACCCTCACCTGTTTCTCATTCCCATTCAAGCCCTCTATATATTCTCCTCATCTGACTTGTTTCATTACCAGTTTGTTACTGTATTTTCCGCACTAAAAGGCGCACTGGATTATGAGGCGCACCTTCAATGAATGGCTATTTTGTAAATTTTTTTCATACATTGGACACTTCACATTATAAGGCGCAATCTACAATGCCTCCAGTAGATGGTGCTACGCTCCTTCCATTCAACTCGAGAGGCATCCGTTCAATTTGAGAGGCGTTCATGACCGCCTCTGAAAAACATAAATTAACTATTACTGTACTTAAATCAAACTACGAAAATTGAAAATAATGCATCAAAACAGAAAATCAAGCGAGGAAATCACAAAATAAATTCTATATCCCCCCTACAGAATTTATTTTGTGATTTCCTTGCTTGATTTTCTTCGTAGTTTCATTGAAGTAATCATTAATTTACGTTTTTCTGAGGCGGCCATGAACGCCTCTCGAGTGGAACGGAAGAAGAGAAGGCACGAAGGCGGACAAAGACGTACAGTACCTGTATTTGTTGATACTGTGAAAACCATTAATAAAGTCTGCGTTTTAAAAAAAAAATAAAACCTCAGCTCTCCATTTTTCAACAAATACAGGTGCGTCTTTGTGTCCGTCTCCGTGCCTTCTCTTCTTCCGTTCAACTCGAGAGGCGTTCATGACCGCCTCCAAAAAAACGCATTGGCATTTCCTTGATCATAGCTCCAACACAACGATCAGATGTCAGTAGTAGTTATTTATTCCTTTGTGGTGTATTCACAAATGATGAAATCACAATATAAATTCTGTAGGGGGGGCTATAGAATTTATTTTGTGATATCCTCTCTTGCTTTTCAGTTTTGATGTATTATTTTCAATTTTCGTAGTTTCATTGAAGTCATCGTTAGTTTGCGTTTTTCGGATGCGGTCTTGAATGCCTCTCGAGTTGAACTGAAGAAGAGAAGGCACGGAGATAGACAAAGACGTACCTGCATTTGTTGAGACTGTTTAAAAAAACAACACCACAGCGCTCCTTTTTTCGGAGCCGCAACAAAAACTTATTTAATAAAGCAGCGACACAGTTCACTGAACCAACAGCAAGTTATAACATTGTAAGCATGTCTCCAGCAAGGAGCCATCTTGGGGTCGACATATTACCGTAATGACCATAAACAAGACGCACCGGGTTTTAAGGGGCTCGTGAGCTTTTAAGAAAATGGAAGACTTTTTGGTGCGCCCTATAGTACGGAAAATACGGTAATTCTCTTTAGGTCATGTTCCAGCATTTTCTAATGTAGTCATTGTGTGAACTAAACTTTTTTCTTTTTGTTCGCCCTTGACCCTATTTTCTGCCTCACGCCTGTTGTACCTCTGCCTGATCATTTTGACTCTCACGTGTACCGACCGTTGCCTGGATTAAACGTTTTTTGCCTTGACCACGTCTGAGTCGTGCATTCCAAGCCAACTGTACCATGTTCTTGACGGTACGAACTGGCCATGACGGACTCAGCCGACTCTGATGACATCTTTGGGCTCAGAGCTTCGTGAACTAGCCGTAGCTCGCATAAATATGATGCCACCAAGATTTCAATTTATCTTGACTTGAATGTGATTAAGGTGCTTATTATGTTAACTCGCAAGCGATAAATCTGGTTGCAATTTCTTTTCTTTTTAGGAAAGTGCAACTTCAATAGTTTCTTGATTTTAGAAAATGAATAAAGAGCAACAGTGTGTAAACTTTTGTGCTCTGAAAATACCAGTGGCATTTCTTTGTTTATGCTGCTCTAATATTCACATTTGTGTGTCCTGTTTCCAATGGGTGTGACATAGTACCGAAAAGCATATCACTCGCGATGATGTCCACTGGCCAGAGGCTGAGCAGCACTGTGTTTGTTTGCGGAGTTGATGTGCCGAGTGCGAGCGGGAGATATACTTTCTGTCCATTATCAAATACGGTCCATTTTAGAACGTTTTTTTTTTTTTACCCTTTGCTGGATGTTCCAGGATGCACTCACATATCTGATGCTCTCCAATATAATCCAGTCATGTAGTGGAAAAATTACACGGCTTGCCAAAGGATAATGAAAATGATAATAAGGATAGCGACTTTCAAGGAACCCAAAGCTGCCTGCCTGGGTCAATCAAATCAACAAGAATCTTCTGATCAGGACCAGGAAGGTCAGGAATAAATTAGAGAAGCCATCCATCATGCCTCTATCGGCCCATCCATCTGTGCGCAGATAATCAGTGCCGAACATATTTTATTAGACGACCTGCCACAGAGAGACCATGCAAACTCTTTGAATTTCAGGCCATTATTATGTTTGCAATCAATCCAACTATGTTACTGTTTCCATGAGAGTGATTTCCTGTGGCTCCATTGACCCGGAAAATTTTCTGTCACAATCTCCTGCCATGCTGAACGAAACGTGTTGTTTTTTTTTTTTGGGGGGGTTTGCAGCTAAATGGTTTCATTGGTCTAACTGAACTTGGCCATGGCAGGTGCTTCCAGGTGAACGGAGGCTAAAAGGGCTGCAAGGCTGAAAACATATGTGACATGTCCAAAGTGTGCTGTAGGCATTTTTGGCTGCAGAAGGCAAGAAGGCAGACCGGGGGACTTTGGGAGCCAAAAGCAGCAGTCTGGTGATGACTGTAGGCTGCTTCAAATCAATAGCATATTAATCCAAAGAAGCCATGTTAAAATATTTTGTATGTGCAAATTTCTCACTTCGCTGTTTCATTTAGAGCCAAACAGCTACCAACAATGTGAAAACTATGTAACGTTTAATAGCTATGTAATTTGATTTGTTTTGTTTTGTTGTTCTGTCCTGGGACCCCTCCTCTTCATTATCTACCTCCTCCCCCTTGGCAATATTTTCCGTAAATTTGGTATACATTTTCACTGCGTCCCGGATGACACCCAGCTCTACCTCCCCAGAAACCCGACGCCTCCCTCCCACCCTCCTCCCTCTCACACTGCCTCTCAGAAATTAAATCTTGGTTCACACATAACTTCCTCAAACTTAACAGCGATAAAACAGAACTCCTCCTTGTCGGTACCAAATCCACCCTACACAAAGCCAACAGTTTCTCCCTCACTATTGATAGCTCCACTGTGTCCCCCTCCCTTCAGGTCAAGAGCCTGGGTTTCATCCTCGACAGCTCACTGTCTTTCTACTCCCACATTAATAACATAACCCGGTCCGCATATTTCCACCTACGCAATATCAATCATCTCCGCCCCTCTCTCGCCCCTCACACCACTGCTATCCTTGTCCACAGTTTCGTCACATCGCGTATTGATGATTGCAATTCACTTCTCTTCGGTGTCCATCACAAATTGCTCCATAAACTTCAACTGGTCCAGAATTCTTCAGCCCGGATCATCACTAGAACCCCCTCCTTTCATCACATCACCCTCATCCTCCAACAGCTCCACTGCCACACTGTCAAACTGAGAATCAACTTCAAAATACTCCTCTATACATTTAAAGCCATCCATAACCTTGCCCCCCCCCCGCCCCCATCTGTCTGACCTTCTTCACATTTCCATTCCCTCTCGTTCCCTCAGGTCCTCATCGTCCCTCCACCTCTGTGTACCCTCTGCCCGTCTCAGCACGATGGGGTGCAGAGCTTTGAGCCGCTCTGCCCCCAAACTCTGGAACTCACTCCCACCCAACATATGAAATACTGATTCTCTTCCCACATTCAAATTCCTTCTCAAAACCCAAAACCCAAAATCGCATACTCATTTTAAATTCATCTCTTCTTTGATTATTTATAATTTTATCTGCGGTTTTATTGTTCTTGTTTTGATTGTAAGGTGTCCTTCACTGTTTTGAAAGGCGCTTATAAATAAAATGGATTATTATTATTATTGTTAACTCGGCTAGCGCTAGCTTTTTTTAGATGTGTACATTTTACTCAAATAGCTTTCTTTATTTTTCCAGATGATGTGCTTTTTTTATGGTTTTTGCTCTCATGCTACACTACTTACGATGTTTGACCTGACAACACGCCAGTCAATGTAGGCCCCTCCCCCTCCATAAAATGCTGACGAACATGATTTACTTTGTTTGTAATTGTTATAATGACGATAATAAGACTCATAATTGCGATTTCTCCTCAATGGCTGTTTGGCGTCTGAGAAGATTGGCAGCCTTGGCCATGTTTGTAACGCATTTTATTGTGTTCTTCTGAGTTACTAAGTACTCAGTTCATTGGACCAAATAACTTAAAATGCCGAAATGACAGCAATATGGCTGTTTTTAGCATCTCGTCATTTATTTCTGTGGCTACTGACTTTGGTGGCTTGCTGTTCCATCAATCTCAGACTTTCCCTTCTTTGGGGGTAAAGCACTTTCCTATCTAGCTCAAAATGTTGTTCTAACATTTAGTTATTGTTTAATTTCTGTAAGACATGTATTTTTTTTTCCATACCCGTGTGCTCACACTACTTTGCGGTCCCGTTATCGCTGCTTCATTCTATCACAAGCTCTTCATTTGTTACCGGAACTTCATCTACTGTGGATTTTCTTATTTTTCTTCTTTTCTGAGTCTGACTTGTCAAAAAAAATGTAGATTTTTTTTGGGGGGTTGGGGGGCGCGGGCGGAACAATGAATATGATAGCTCGTTACTGCCAAAATCCCCCTTCTCTCATAATATACGCGTTTGTCAATATGTTCCGAGCGCACTGCTTCACTCAGGCTGTTCGGAAACTCAAAACATTGTTCAAATATGCC